AGGGGAGTGGCGTGTGTGGGGTGGGGTGGGGGGTGGGTTGTGGATCCAAGGAAGGTGGTGGGCTTTCCGCTCTCCTCTCCTGTTGGCTGGCTGAGTTGTTCCTTCGCCGCCCCCTCATCTCCCCACTTCCCATTTATATTGCCCCTGCCTCTCCCCATTCCTCATGTCCTGCCCCGATGGATGCATAAACCATCAACCCTGCCCTATTTTGCTCGTTAGAAATTTGAATTCGGTGGACAGGATTTGGTGAAATGTTGTGCTTTTTTATGTGCATGATGTGTTTTTTTGTATATGTAATGTGGGAATGAGCGGGCATATGGTTGTTTAGGGTTTTATTTATGCTTTGTCTGTGGGTTTTATGCGTCGTCTGCTTGAAGAACATGCGTGTGGCCGACTGATTTTTTGAATCTTATTTTGTACGGAGCACCAAGTACACGCTTGGGTTTATCTGTGCTATTAGATGGCATGTGTTGTGCGTTACTTATTCTACTGGTTGCTATTTATTTGCTCATTACGTAGTAGTTGTCCTTTACCTGTAAAAAAAGTAGCTGTCTTTACGAGCTTTTGCACTCGCTGGCGGGCGGCTGTCGTATGCGGTATATGCGAGCGTGCGTTACGGGGTCGAGCGAGCACGTGTAAAGTTTGATCGTCGAATCAGTTACACCTTCTTCAAGTTAGTTATTGTGCTCGATGGTAATATCTCCCATTGTATCGCGCCACTCGTGCAATGACGTGCCATGCTCTGTTAATATTGAAATCAGAAGCTTGGAGGCTGGAGCCATGATCAAAGCTGGAGCCAGTAACAAACCGTAGTATGCTTTCTTGATTAGAGAGATCATTAGCGGTATGGGGGAAAGATTCTTACATTACTCACATTCGCCGGAGCTGTCACTACTCATTTCATGGCTAATTTGGGTAGAACGGTTGTTTGACTGAGCTTTGGTCCGTAAGAGGTCCTAGAAATTATTGGATGAGTTTGTATTCCCTAATTTTGAGTAATGCAATAATTTCTTTGAAAAAAGGACATGAGTGGAATATTTCTCATGGGGAAAAACACTTGAGTGTTACTTTGCATCACTGAAGCAAGCGAATATCATTATACATCATAACATTGCAAATAGCTAATGATTTTCAGGTTGTACATGTGACTTGCATTAGTGAATCAATTGGTTTAATGGACTTTTGACATTATTATATCAGCTATTTTGTATGCTAATGAAGTTTCATGTTATGCTAGAAATAACAGTTAACGGTTACCAAATACGATAGTTGTTCTTATTTGAACGTTCAAGAGCAGATAGGGGTTTTTAAAATCATATATTCACGTGTATGCTAAATAACATTATCTATATAAAAAAGTTCCCTTTTAACTCATGCAACAACATAACCGCTTGCTTTAACAAAGAGCCACTAGCTTTCTTTCCAATGTCACTATATTTGCTAACTCTTAGTAATTTGAAGTTTCACCTAATGGAATTGCTTACATGTGTGAAATACATCTATATATCAAACGAATAATTCTTAGATTTTTTTAGATTTAGGAATAACTCTTAGATTGTTCAAAACTATTAAGTGATGTGTGTTCATTTTTTTTAAAAAAGTGGGCCCACTAAGGCCCAATATCCAAATCATAGCACTCTGTAGTGTTGCTTTTATGTATGAATATATGGCATGTACATTGATATTTAGGTAGTAATACATCATTCCTTATGTATTGCCCATAACACTTTTCTCAGAATAAACATGTAATGTAATTGTGGATAATATATCATCTTGCTATCAGAAGTATTACTACATTATTGCCTTAAAATGCCAACAATAATTTTGGTCTAATTTTTATTGCACCACCATACTTAGATACCGGGTACCCCCTGACTTGATGATGTAGGTAATTTTCATAATTGTGTGCAGCGACTAACTCTGATTTAGATATTCAAAAGTACTATTATATGTTGCCCTACATAGATATAGATTTAATGAGTAGTACTACAACATTGCCTTACATAGTGTGGATTTAACGATTTGAGGTAGTGTTGTACTCCCTCCGTTTCATAATGTAGTGCCTACAGATTTTTGTAAAAGTCAAACATTACAAACTTTGACCATGTTTATAGAGAAAAGTAGGTAAATCTAGAATACCAAATGCACATCATTGGATACATCGTGAGTTATATTTTCAGAATGTACATGTTTGGTATTGTACATGTAGACAGTTTTCTCTATACACTTGGTCAAAGTTGGCAAAGTTTGACTTTCACAAAAGTCTATAGGCACTACATTGTGGAATGGAGGGAGTGTTACTCCCTCATTTAGATAGATACTGGTGATAGGTCAAAGGTCAAACCTAAAATGGGTCAGTATTGGGAACAATGGTTAGTCCACAATATTATTTGTCTTGTATGACACTATTTTACATTTTGTTTTCTTTCATATTGCCACCAATGTTGTTTTAGTTTGGAGTGTTTTTATTTCCCTCTTAATTAGGACAAGTCGTCAATTGCCACCATGTCTTGACCATATCTGGTCAAGCATGATCACCTTGTTACTGACCAACATGTGGTTTCCCATTAGTTGAGGTGATAGCACATGCCTTCTTCCATACGAATGTTGGGTACATGTGTTGGATAGCGTTGTATGTTACCGAATCGACTAATTGTTAGTTATTTTGACAATAGAGATTGGCTAGTGTTTTTTTTAGAAATTTACTTCGCAAATCACCATCATGTCAAAGACTATATATGAAATATGCATCCTTGAAGATAATGTGTACATTCATATATTACATGTGAAATTGAAGCCAATCAATGCGCATCACCCCGTTCCTCTTGTCCTGCCCCATGGAGGGCTTAATTGTGGTCTAACTTTAAATCCACCGTTCATGTTTTGCTCCTGAGATGTTTCAATTTGGTGTATCGGATTTGGTGAAATGTTGCACATTTTGCATAGTGTGGGGATTGTATATGTGATGTGGAAATGGGTGGACATGTTATCCTTCGTGTGGGGATTTTATGGGTCATCTAGCTGGAGTACATGCATGTTGCTATTGGTTTTTGAATCTTGTTTTTGCACGGAGCACCGAGCACACACTCGGGTTATCCGTGCAATTAGATGGCACGTTCAAGTTACCGCTTCCGTCGGTTGCTATTTAGTTGCTCATTACTGAGTAGTTGTCTTTTACCCCGCAAAAAGAAAAAAGAGTAGTTGTCTTTACGAGCTTTTGCACGCGCTGGCGGATGGCTGTCGTATGCGGTATATGCGAGCATGCGTTACAGGGTCAAGCGAGCACATGTAAAGTTTGATCATCGAATCAGTTGCACCTTTTTCAAGTTAGTAATTATGCTCGATGATAATATTTCCCATAGTATCGCGCCACTCGTGCAATGACGCGCCATGCTCTGTTAATATTGAAATCAGAAGCTTGGAGGCTGTAGCCATGATCAAAGGTGGATCCAGTAACAAACGCAAGTATGCTTTCTTGATTAGAGAGATCATTAGTGGTATGGGGAGAATATTCTTGCATTACTCACATTCATCGGAGCTGTCACCACTCACATCATGGCTAATTTGCGTAGGTTACAATGTCAAGCGGTTGTTTGAGTGAGCTCTGGTCCAGAAGAGGTCCCCTAACTTTAAATCCACCGTTCATGTGTTGCTCTTGAAATATTTCAATTCGGTGGATCGGATTTGGTGAAATGTTGCACATTTTGCATAGTGTGGGGATTGTATATGTGATGTGGAAATGGGTGGACATGTTATGCTTTGTGTGGGGATTTTATGGGTCATCTAGCTGGAGTACATGCGTGTTGATATTGGTTTTTAAATTTTGTTTTTGCATGAAGCACCAAGCAAACACTCGGGTTATCCGTGTTATTAGATGGCATGTTCATGTTACCGCTTCCGCCGGTTGCTATTTAGTTGCTCATTACTGAGTAGTTGTCTTTTACCCCGCAAAAAGAAAAAAAGAGTAGTTGTCTTTACGAGCTTTTGCACGCGCTGGCGGGTGGCTGTCGTATGCGGTATGTGAGAACGTGCGTTACAAGGTCGAGCGAGCACGTGTAAAGTTTGATCGCCGAATTAGTTACACCCTTTTCAAGTTAGTTATTATGCTCGATGATAATATTTCCCATAGTATCGCGCCACTCGTGCAATGACGTGCCATGCTCTGTTAATATTGAAATCAGAAGCTTGGAGGCTGTAGCCATGATCAAAGGTGGAGCCAGTAACAAACGGAAGTATGCTTTCTTGATTAGAGAGATCATTAGCGGTATGGGGGAAAGATTCTTGCATTACTCACATTCGTCGGAGCTGTCACTACTCATTTCATGGCTAATTTGGGTAGGTTACAGTGTCAAGCGGTTGTTTGAGTGAGCTCTGGTCCAGAAGTGGTCCTAGAAATTATTGGATGAGTTTGAATCCCCTAATTTTGAGTAATGCAGTAATTTCTTTGAAAAAAGGACACGAGTGGAATATTTCTCATGCGGAAAAAAGTTGAGTGTTACTTTGCATCACTGAATCAAGCGAATATCATTATACATCATAGCATTGCGAATAGCTAATGAGTTTCAGGTTGTACATGTGACTTGCATTAGTGAATCAATTGGCTTCATGGACTTTTGACATTATTATATCAGAT